AGGACAAGGTCAGCCACATCTCATGTGTCCAAATACCACCTTTTTTGAGTGATTATAAAAACAAGACCGATTATTAATCTACCAAGCGCCCTACATTCACAGCACTTGATGACTAACCCTTAAGCAAACTTCTAAATGTTGTCAGAAGCAGGCAGACGAACCATAGAAGGCTAGAAAACTAGCATACCGCTGCTTCCGATGTCAGCAAATGACAAATATTTGGCCAAATGTTTAGAATTCTTATGTCAAGGACACGCTGACCAGCTTAATCCACATACATTCATGAACAAGATCAACATTTTTCAAAGCCCAAATCCTTCATCTGCAACCCAACCGAGATTGGATCTGATTCATCCTCAGCATGCAATAAAGACATCCCGCCCCATTCACCTCTGTCTGCTCTCCTTGGATTAAACACGAAAGGCAACATTTGGCCTGCACAATCCCAATCTCAACATAACATCGTAATAACCCAGAGGCAAGGAGGATTCCGCACAGATTATAGAAACTGCAGGATTAAGTCCCAATGAAAAGTAAAGACACAAGGGAGCTACACAGAGAGAGAGAGAGAGAAGCTGCGAGTGGTTTAAAGAAGCAGGGATGAACTGTAATTTTGATGAATGGGAATCTGGCTCGTCACTGACAGCAGCCTAATGCAGCCTTCATGGTTGGTTGGCGGTACCTTACTCCAGCCATCCTCCTCAGTGTAGAACAATGATGGAAAGGACAGATGTTCAGCTTTGGCAACTAAATCAAGAGACTCTTTGCAGGTGTCAAAAAGTAGTTTGGTGCCACATATGGTACAACGACACTTTTTGTAAAGATTTAAATTGTATTCATTGATTTTCTTATTAAAAATACAGCATTGTGTACAGTGCTCAGCAAAACTGAGTACATCCCAGATTGAAAATTAATATTTTTCTCCATTTCTCAGTGAGCAATGTATTTTGGTGCATTTAAACAAAACAGATTTATTAAAATAATATTTTAGTCACCAACACATTTAGAAGCTGAAAGATAATACAATTAAATTCAAGCAAATTATTACAAATAATAATGTTTCAATTTGGTTGCTTCTCTTTTTTCCTCTTGTTTCAATTTGTGTTTAATATTTTTTCTATGACATAAATTTGAGTGTACTAGTTTTTGGACCGTTTTTATAAGTTATTTTGTTAGATAAGCTCCCGATATGGCTTCAGTACTGACTAATCTAATGTATATGCACAAATATAATATTGTATAGCTTCCTATTAAACATATGAATTTAAAAGAGATATTTGTGAGGGGTGTACTTATATATTCTGAGCACTGTACATATTTATTAGGGGTGAACATTATGGGGAAAAATGCAATATGCAATGTTGTTGTGTGTTGTGATGATAACTATATTTCTTCTGATATAACCAATAAAAAAAAAAAACTATATTTCAACAGCTATTTTTAAAAATAATTTATTTATGGAATGATTAGTGATGGGCACAAACTAAATCACGATTAATCGCATCCATAATTAGGCATGGGGCAATAACTGTTTTCAAAGCATACTGCGGAAAAGTCAAGGTTTTAAATTCGGCATATTTTTCTGCTATACCGTTCCTATAGTATATGTAGGATATTTTTTACTTTATTATTATTATTATTTTTTTTAAAAAACAGGATCTCCAGAAGAAGATATCCGAAGATGTAGAGCCCTACATTTGAGCCTGAGCTCATCAGGGCAAAACTTTTTTTATGCCACTAGGGCCGGGCTTTGGGACAATTTTCACATCATAGCTATCACGCAGATCGGGCTTTAGGCTTGCCTTCAAAAATAATTCCAAAAAAGGTTTAATGAGATCTAGTGCTGCGTTCCGGATGCCTTGCGCATACAGATATCCAGCCAAGTACAATGAAAAACATAAAGAGAAAAATTGCCAATGGTGAACTTAAAACTGTGAAAAACGCTAGAGGAAAGGCAAACTTCTGGTCAACTTTTCAAATAGTGACAACTATAAAAGATGAGCCAACTAGTTATGCACAATGCATAACTTGTAATTTGAGTAAACTCACTGTGGACCACCACACACCGCTTGGATATCAATGTCACATAAAAAAACTAAAACTTACATTTAAAAAACAACAAAAAAAAAAACTTGTGAATAAATTATTCTGATAAAAAAAAAAAAAAGAAAAAGAAAAAACATCAACTTTCTATTAAATACAAATCTGGTCTATTTTGGCTTAATACCAGTATAAGCTGTTTGGTGGAAAAAAGATGGGCTTCAGGTCAGACTCGGGACTCTACCAAAAATTTTAATAAGCTGTTGGACAAAGAAACATTTAAAACATCTAAAAATCACCCCCAAACTTTTGACCAGTGATGTTTATTTTAATAGAAATATAATTCCACCAGAAAACTTGAATAGCTCTATTTGGAAAGAATTCATTAATTTAGACTGATTTGGGATTATTCTGTGTGTAAATCATGTAACAGCATACAACATATTGTGCAGCCCCAGTGTAATGTGTATATTTTATTATGTATATATTATGAGAATTTTTACATTTATATCTACATATGAAATATATATGTATATGACACAAATTATATATAAATTTAAATAACTATGTATAAAAATTGTTTTGTATGGTGTGGTTTTATGTACATATGCACGCATGTATATAAATATGATGCACATAAATTATGTCAAAACAAACTTATTTTGGATTTGATCCATTTGGATTACATTAATCTTTTCCCAGAACTAATGCTCGTTCTAAAATAAATAGGTCATATTTTCTGAGCAAATTAAATACAAATAAAATAAACTAAAACAATTAGACTTTATAACTCCACATATGACTGAAAAAAAAAACAGCGGAAAGTCAGATTGTTATTGGCTGTTGTCATTTTCCGGTCTTGTCTCACAGCATTAGTATATATTTTCAGCTCTAGGTTCAGCTTACAGCACCTACTGGAGAGGCGTGGATGAAGATAGTTTCAAGTAACTTGAAATGTCTAAAACGCCTGAGAAATTGTTTTCAGAGTTGCTTTTCAGAGGGTCTGCAATGTTTCTGCTGAACTAACATAACCAACACTGCACAATAAGAGTACACTAAATACCAAACAAAACCCACTTTATTTTACTCAGTAAAAACATAGACATATAACATAGAACATAGACTATAAATTAGGTAGAGTGCTTATTGACTCAATCTGATTTAACTATTAGCTTTGTTTGGCGGTTAATTCTTTACGTTTTTGCTTTGCAAGCAAGCGGCTCATGCTTGAGAAATTCTCAAGACTCCAATTGCAAAACAAGTAATTCTATGTATATTTGTCACTATAAACTGTCTCTTGCATGACAAAGCTGGTCAAATTATACAATAGCAGTGAATGCTTTTCTAGAAGACTAACATGTATAATAGGCCTACGAGGCCCTGCACAAAACATGAAGTCAAATCAAAATCAAATTTTTAAGGACAAAAATAAAGGATTTGTTCCAAGTTTCTATTAGAAGACTTATTTTAGTAAATCGTTGCCACATTTAAAAATCATTCCCATATTTAGCTTGTAATACAACAGAACAAATTATTACACCATATGAACAACTGTGCACACGATACAATAATTTTAGGCCCTGGAGAATAGGTTTTGTTGAAACAAGTGGTAGTTTATAAAAATAACCGAAGGAGCAAATACATAAATGTAAGACTTTACAGGACGATTCAAGTCTTGACATTGGTTAACATGAACTAGGTATGAAAAATAATTATAAAGAATTATTTCATCTTAGTTTATATCAATATTTACTCATTAAAATCAAAAATTCAATTTTTTTATGAACTCTATTCATGAACAGAGGATTTGGAACAGCAGGAGGGGGAGTAAATGAGGACAGAATTTTATTTTTTAGGGAGGACAATGACTTTAACTATAAATAATTTTAGACCCTGAAGAATATGTTTTGTGTATAAGTGTATAAGTGGCAGTTTATAAAAATCAATCTACTAAAAGGAGCAAATAAATGAATCTAACACTTTACAGCACAGTTCAAATTATTAGTTAATAATGATTATAGAAATAAATCATTATTCATGTTAGTTAATTTTAACATTTACTCCTTAAAATAAACTTTATTTTAAAGTTTATTTAAAACCTCAGTTACAACAACTCTATTCTTATTATTGAACATTAAATAGCAATTAATACTGTAGCATTCCAGCTGCTAATTTTCATTTCATTTTAGTCCATATCATTTCAAACCTGCATAAATCATAAAAGAGGATTTGGAACGGCAGGACAGGACATGATTTTTGGGAGGACAATGACTTTAACTAATCATTAGACATTATTTTAAAGTGTTACCATAAATATACTTGGCCTATTTCAGGTTTGGCTTGTTTAGTAATTGTACAAAGCAAATAGTTTAAGCCTGTCATTAAAAAAGTGAAAAGTGAAAAGCCCGTGCAAACGCAACATCTGCAAAAAGTCTGATATGTTAAACACAAAGTTTTGCTAAATAGTTTTAAATCTTTAAATTATGACGTTTCCCCATTCCAGTGTGTAGGCTAGTCAAAAGCCAATACGCTGGGATAACTACTGAAAAACATGTTGGGCAGCTGACAGTCATTATGGATGCGCGGACACAACGCCAATACGATGGACAGCGATGCTCTGACCTCCCAGCGGTCCAACCTCATCCGCTGGTAGCAGGAGCAAGTCCTGCCCTGAACGCATGCAGCAGGGTTTCATCTAAAACACGGTTTAACGAGGCAACAGGAAAACAACTTTACACTCACTATGCCTTCGGCGATTGAGCCCATTTCCCACTTCGTCATGTTAATCAATGACACAACAGACCGACGCCATTACAAAGGCAACTTCACTACAGTGTTTTAATAAATATATGCCGTGTTTGTGTACTAGAGCTCTTATCACATGCGTCTGTCCTCTCAACGTTCAGGCTACAGCTGTGATTACAGCTGCGTGATGCTCGAGATGAAACTCTGGTACTTACGCCCTGGTTTTTGGGAAGCCCATTGACAGCAAAACATCCAGGCTGTTTCCATGTTTGACAGTTGCTGGCCGGTTCTGCCTCTGCATCCGTGGAGCGACTTTGGCATAGAGGTCTTCTTTCGCTGCCATGGTTCAGCTTTCCATTGGGCTCGAGAACAGCGGTTTGCTCACTTCTGATGCGTCCTAACGAACGGACACGACACACATTTAAAACATCGCTACAGTATCTACCGTGAAGGCTGCTTCATGAACGCTCCGCATTATTCCCCTAGTCGGACAGACAGAAGTCTCGGCGGACGCGCTACAATGTTTCCAAACACAAAATGATTTGAGCTTCCTGCTGGAGCGCTCATGTCATTACAGTTTGAGAAAGGGGTCACCAGTCGGAAGTCAATCTCGTTCAGTCCGCGTATCGACAGCCATCTCCGTCGGTGCCTGTCAAGGGAAGAAAAACCATCCGCCGGAGTCTCTCGCGTCTCGCTGTGCGCTCGAAAATGTTGTTGCGGGCGCGTCGCGAGCGAAATCTATCAGTACTTGTTACATCGGTTCCTCCTCGACATGACTTATTTATGAATGGAGTTGACTGAAGGCGTAAGCAGCCAATTAGCAGGCAGGATGTGAGTGGCCCCGCCCTCTGGTTCTTAAAGTCGCAGTTTTGAAAAATGACGTTCAGCAGATGCGCTCGAATGGCAGGCAGAGCATCATCGTCATTGACGTTTGCTCACATTCAGCCGAACGTTCTTACGTAACTGTGCGCAGGTAGAACGCAGGAGGATGATCGGCACTAATATTGTGTGATGTTCAGGGATCGTATGAGGCCAAAGCTGAAGTCAAATCTTAAAAAATCGCACATTCACAAAACGCAATCAATGAACTGTAAGTAAAGCTTGATTGTACAAATTATGTGTATTGGATTTACCCTTGTGCACTGTTTAAATTTACTACCCTTTTAAGTTAGGGATGAAAACATCCACTGAATTAATCTGCTGCAAAAATGCATCAGATACACAGACACACACAGACACACACATATATATATATATATATATATATATATATATATATATCATCCGACCTCATCAAAACTATAAAACTGTTTAGCAAATTTACAGGATTTTAACTCTTTTTATTGCCAAGTCCACAAATGATGTCACTGATTTTGTGGGGGGGGAAAACACAAAATGATGTATCTTTAGTATAAAAAGTAATTGTGGACTGGATTTTTTTACGTTTTATTATAGTCTTGATCATGTGAAGGATTAGTAACATTGACTTCAATGCATTGTTAGGATTTTTTGTCCCTTATTTACAGTCGTTGGCTGTTTTTGCCCCATTGACTTCCATTATAACCACATTAGATGGTGCATAAACACAGTCTTTGTTTTTATTTACTCCATGTAATTCTTAGAGCTGAGATGCATATTTTCTCAGACACATCAAGGTAAGTGCGTAAAGATCACCCTCATACTTTCACTCACTCACTCACTTACACACTCTGCTGTTATACTCCATATAAAATCCAGAGCTTTTTTTCTGCACAGGTCAATCTAACGATTTATTGGTGATAACTGATAATTACTCATTTGACCTCTTCCCAACAGGGAAAACCATCAACAATTAAAAATGCATGATTATATGGGGTTTTACAATAAAAAAAAAGAAAAACAATGCAAAGGCAATGCTGTTTCACGTGTCCAAAATTTTAATAAAAGGTATAAAATAATTTAAATTTGGTCCACAATAACTTTTTTTATATTGCAAATACATCATTTTGTGTTTTTTCCACCAAATTAGTGACACTAATTATGAATTAACAGAATTGTGCAAACATATTTATGCAGATTTATGGATGTTTTCATCCCTAACATAACAAAAAGGTAATTTTTCCCAGACTGTATTGAGTTAATTTTGTTAATTCTCAAAATATTAGTCAAAATAAGATTTTATTTTATTTTTTTACCAAAAATCATTCTGCTAGCTGAAACAGAAAAAGTTCTGGCCAAATTAACACACAAAAAAAATCACCTGTGGATAAAAACATCACAACAGTACATAAAGGTTAAGTAAATTTGCAGGCTATAATAAACTTTTTCCCCTGTTAAAATATTTTACAAAAATCAGCTTATACAGTTTAATTGTGTGAATAATAGGCTAGACAATTTATAATACAGCTTTGAAAACAATCTCTTAATTTAGAGATATAGTTAGGTATGTGTTTGTGTAAAGTGTTATTATTGGTTTTATCCTTTAAAAGGCTGATAATATTTCTTCCAAATTTCAAAAAAAAAAAAAAAAAAAAAAAAGTTTTTTCAAAAATATGACAATAGACAGCATAATATACCTGGTTAAAGAACGTTTCTTGGTTTTAGGTGTCTGATTATTTATTATTAATATATTAATCATATTAATATATAATTAATATATTAAACATATTAATCATATTATAAAAATAGCACTTTATAAAATTACAAAAGGACACCCTTCAATTAAATTAATTAAACGTAGGGAAAACAGTGTAGTAAAATCATGAATTAAAGTAAAGCTGTACAATAAATTAATTTCATGTTACACCCTGTTGAGTCACTGCATGACAATGGCAAGTCAGTTTCAGCAGTTGTACACAGCTGCACCGTCTCCTAGTGGTCATAATTAGAACTTCTTAAATCACGTCACATTATGGGCACGATTTAAAATGATTCGACAACAACTGTGTTCAATCAATTCAAAACAATCAGACTTCTTGTGAATCTGCAAATAGAGAAATATCACATACTATTGCATACACTAAATTTAGCATGTTTCATTTATTGGAAGAATTCAGAAGAATTGGAAGTCAGACATTAAAACTTCAAACAAGAAAAATAAGAGGGAAGATGTGAACAAGTCAGAGAGGTCAATGAAGCTTGATTTAAAATCCTATAAAATGCAATAAAAGTTTGAAAGCGATATTTACATTTCATGAAATATGTATAAAACACAAAAACACGGAGCAAACCATCATAAAAAGTAACAGAAGTAAAAGAACAACATATCATGACTGCAATGTACAGCAAATGTTTATATGAAGGGCAAAGGGCATTGTTTTACCTGAATGGAGAACACAAAAAGTTTATCTCATAGTGCAGAATCACATTAAATGGATACTTTAATCCATACCAATGCAACAAATCAGAGTAAATTACATTAACAAAAGGATCAATATTAAACCATATTAAATTTGTTTTCCACTCACAAATTACTCGTGTACCTCAATAAATTACATTTCTAATCATTTCTGCAAAAGAGAGATGCACAGATTTTACATTTCTAAAAGCCAATATGCAAAATGAATCTGCCTGGCATGTTTTAAAGCTTTCTGCACATTTCTATGATCTAAGTCACACCTTTCACATACACACAAATCCTGATGTGCTTGAACCTATGCAGACGTTTTTTTTTTTATCTAGGCAACAATCAGAATTTCATTCAGATAAGCACAGGCTACACCACAAAAGATGATTTCTGTCTGAATCCCTGAAAGAGACAACAACAAACAAACTGTGAATATAAATTCCACAATTAACACTATTCAGATGAGACAATTACAAAAAGACACAGAGGAATAAACCAAAACTGAGGAATTAGATTAATCTGTTTAATATCATTTACACAAATGGGCAACATCTGTTGTACTTACGTTAGCCTCATCCACATCATCTGTCTGAGGCTGTGTATAAACAGCTTGTGGTTTCTGTTTTCTGCAAGAGATCATTTATATCATTTAGTTACATTCAGGAGATTTGTTATGAAAGATAAAGCTTTAAGACGCATGCATCAAAGAAGAAAACAAATTCTACACTTACGTTTCAGATAATTCTGTGAGGAAACGAAAAAATAAAATTAGGTCATTCTAAATAAAGTTAACCATTTAGAATTTTTTAATTATAGTGAGAACTTACTTGGCAGATATCCCTTTTTGCTGGCATACCAGAGACCAAAGAGCAGCAAACCTACTGCCAGCAATGCCACAATAACCCCTGCAACAATGCCTCCAACATTCAGATCACCTTTAACAGAGAACAACACATCCAACTCAATCTGTTAAAGAATTGATATTTTTAAAATTCACATCAAGAACACGAGTTATAAAAGATATTCACACTAGGGCTGGGCAACTAATTAAAAGCGTTTCCACTATCGCGCCTAAAGCGAGCGAGCCAGGGCGAGCCAAGGCCAGTGGCGTTTCCACTGTCACTTCCGGGGCCTAATCGGGCCAAAGCGGGGCTGTCTTGGGGCCAGCGGCCAGCCTTTTTCGGCCCGCCGAATACCTTGGGCCAAAGAGGGCCAGCCGGGGCTTGGGGGCGGAGTGAAAGGAGAGGCGGGCACAGTTTTCCGATCGCACACTAGTACATGCGCCAAACACATAAACAAATAAAATAAGGGAATAAATAAATAAGGGAAAGAAAACATCTAGAACAAATTATAGGCTGGGGTCTTTTTTGCATATGATCACCCTTATGTTTCTCTTTTAAATGTAAGGCTGTTGCATAAAATGATAGTTTTAATAAGTGATTTTTCTTTGCTGCATCTCTTTAATGTTTCAATAACGCATAATAATCTTTACACCATATTAAAGACAAAGCAGACAGTAAAGGTTTTCAAGAGGTTTTGTCAAGTTTAATAGGTGTGTTTTTGCGCGTTTAGATGCCTATGTATGTGTGTGAGACTGAGGAAAAGAGCGCTCCATTCATAGCTCTGTTGATGCCGCGAGCGGCTTTTTTCTTTTATTTTTATTGTTTTAATTTATTTTGGAGATAATACACTATATGAATACAACAGTAGGACATTAAACTTTACAAATTTCATGTCCACTTTTGTAGGCTCAAAACAATGTCATATCTAGATAAAATAGCCCTATATTTAAATAATTTAAAGAATTACAAATATCAGATAGGCCTATAATAAAATCACATTAAATAAATAAACCAATATAAAACTAAAACAAAAGCTATAGCTATAACAATTAGGTACTATATCAAACTGTTTCAAATTTATATTAAACTTTCATTTTTCAAAAGCCTCTTTAAAAAAAAGATTTTAGATATTTTCTAAAACAATAAATAAATAAATAAACACCGGAACATGTTTTAAATATTATTTATAAAGTGTTTGCATACGATGAAATTAATCAAATCTTGCAAACAGAGCATTTGAGGTGAGTGAAAGCAGAAACTAGGCGACCTTTTTTTCTGTCTGCAGCTGCGCAGCACTTTTTTGACTGGGAAAACTGCAAGTTTAAAATGTGTTCTGTGTCCTCAAACAAGTGTGTATGTTTTAATATAACGTGGTAAAATTAAAAAAGGAAATTTTAAATACATAAAGAGCTTTATTAGTGCATAGCTGCTGAGCGCAACGAAATATAGGCTATATTTTATTACGTGCTGCTATGTGCTGAAACACTGAACACTTTCCTTTTCTCAAGATATAATAAGCAACATCTTTAAATAAAGGGAATCACCTATTAAGTGTCATAAAGCCTATATGGAAAAAAAATCATGTTTCAGTTCTCTCCGGAGCATTTGGGATGAATGTTGGACAGCGTCTGTCTTGAGGATGTTATAAAATACATTTTATATTGAGTTATTAACAGAGAATTTTATATTTGTGGTGTTATATTATGGATGTGTGTGCTCCCTGCGCTGGGTACCTCCGTTGGTGGCAAGACCACTGGATTTCGATGCCAACAGTCGGTCGGCGAGTAAATTAAAATGATAATTAAAAACACAGGGGCATGTGCGTATAGACATGCGTTGTACTACTGAACAGTAACGTGTCATTTGTTTGTTTTGTTTGTCCTAATTTTAATAGTTTCGTGATGATGTGATGGTGTGCTTTATCTGCATGATTCTCGCTGAAGTGGGCGGTTTGAGTGACGTTCGATTCGGGGGATGTTTTGGGGGCGGGGTTTGCGTGACGCGCTGCGAGCTACTAGCCCCACAGTGGAAACGCGATATGATTTCGGCCTCACTGCTCAACCTCCCGGGCGATTGGCCCGGCCTGGCCCGATATAAGCCCTGGCTCGCACTGGCCTGATAATGGAAATGCGGCTACTCATCCCTAATTCACACAGTAATATAGTTGCTTATTAGCTCATACTTGTTCAAACTGAGTGGGTTCCTCAGCATCTGACAATGATTTTAACAGTATTCAACAGGCCAGCATTTTAATCCTTAGTAAAGTACATTTGCACACTTGTAATTTGTAAACAGGATTAGCAGAACTCATGAACTCAGAACCCTCCCCTGAACAAGATTAACAATGCCTTTTTGCTGTTAACCCTGTATCGCAATATGAAACTTGTAAAAGGTTTACGGTGTTAAAAGATTATAAGAATATTATATCTTAGAAATGCTTAGAAATAATAAAATCATGTGTCTCATATTCAAATGCTTTAAAAAAAATCTCAAAAATATAATGCGGAGCAGCAGTTGTCAAATTGTGATGGAAATGCATCATTCTTTCAAGCAAGCTATATTCTATGAGAAGGCATGATGTCAGCACTCACTTTCTTAAAGGGCACCGATCGTGAAAAATCTACTTTTCAAGCAGTTTGGACAGAAATATGTGTAGGTATAGTGTATAGGTGGTAATATTGGGGTAATATAAACACATAGAGCCCTTTTTCTTTTCTTTTTTTTTCCAATTTAACAACATAAAAACAGTGGACCAATTAGAGCGGTTTTCAGACCGACCGCAACTTGACGTAGGATTGACAGCTGCGTAACATGTCTCGGTAGTCATGTGCATAATGATATCAACAAGAGAAGTTGAGCGCAATGCAACCGGGAATGAAAGGTCTGTTCAGTTCACCAAGATCATCAAAGGTCATCAAATGTGATCAAGAGTGAGTTTCACAAGTTTAAAATGTTTTAAAACAGTGCATGTGTGTAATGAATTACAGCAATTTACTTTAGAATTACTTCATCAGCACAGCCACGTGTCAGAACAATTATAAAAGAAGACATTTCAATCCCGGTTTGTAGACGTTAAATCAGGTTTATTTTATACATTAACATAACAGATATCCATACAGCAGTGGAGATTAGCCTGTACCCTGTCACATATGCGTGCAAAATGAGTGCAAAGCTAAACGCAGTGTCTGTATGTATGTGTGTATGGTGTCCGTGCTGGGTATGCGTGTCTGTGTGTGCGCGTGAACTTTGTAACGACATTGTGTGCGACTCATCGTTGTAACTTAACACAGCAAATGCATCAAATAATCATGGGTAAAGTTCTTACTGCAGTATTTTTCACAAACGCTACATGAGATCTGCTTCCTTTATGTCTGTTTGTTTGTTTACGGTCTGATGCAGCCGAGGGAGGAGATTAAGGCACGCAGAAAGGCATATAGAAACGGTGGGTGGGGAGGACTAGCCTTATGCTGCGTTTACACCAGACGCGGAACGCGCGTCAAGCGCGAGTGATTTACATGTTAAGTCAATGCATACGCGCGAATAGAGCGTTTTGCGCGTTTGACGCGCTTAACGAGCGTTTCGTGCGAATCTCTCCATTTCGAAAATCTGAACTTCAGCGTACATTCGGGCCGCGTTAACCAATCAGAAGCTTGCTCTTGTGGGGGCGTGATTGTGACGTAGAACCTGCTGTCGGTGTTCCAAGGGAAATCCTCCAGCCTTCACCGACAACAGTTCATCAAACTCGGCTTGGCTCAGTCAGAATAACCGCTGAAAGCCTCCAGTCATCCAGGTTAAGTTTCTGGAGGAGTTTATGAGCTCACAGAGCTGGATGCACCTCTGAAAGGATGTAGTGGACTCAGACACGGCCCTAAACATATCAACACTTTTTTAGTCTTCATAAAGCACATAAACACTGTTATGTTCTTCATAAAATCCATGTTAGCCATTTAGCTATGAAGCTAGAGTCTTCGGGCAGACAGAAGCCCTGCCCATCACGCGAATCCGCGTCTGTTCGGATGTGAATTTGACACACGAATGAAGCGGTGTTTGACGCGCGTATGAAGCGAGTAAACTCAAATGTTCACTAGTCTATTTACGCGCGAATAGCGCGATTTATCCGCGCGTTCCGCATCTGGTGTGAACACAGCATTAAAGGCGCAGAACAGGAAAACCGCCACCCAGAGCAAAAATGTATAAAACAGAACAATCTTATAAAATGTACAATAAAAAATCTGATGGGTGTTGAGCTGAAATTTTACAGACAAATTCTGGAGACACAAATGATTCATAAATCTAAAAAAAAAAACGGTAATCTAGGTGCCCTTTAAGTCCTATTTGGATGGCGATCTGTTAAAGAAATAAAACCTCTAGCTCTACAGAGTTCAAGTGTGCTCTCAGCCGAAGATAATTTGAGGGTGGATGTCTGGTTATAATCATATAAACCTAGAACTATGTGTCTCACATGATCATTTGTGTGCTCAGTCAGATGCTAGTATTTAAGTTCATCTCCAACCCTGTTCAACCTCACTTTAGATTCTCATGGGCATCTGCATCAGTGCTGGTGTGATTGTCATGATCCAGGCTGTGCAGACGATCAAAATGTTACTTATTATTTATCTTAGCATTACTTTTTCATTTACATTATCATGTCATTGCATTGTTCTTTAATACCGCACAGCCCTAGTTATTGACAAGAGCCAATTACATTGGACTGCAACATACAAGTTTAAAAATGGTATTAGGGCTGCACGATTTGGGAAAAATATCATTGCGATAATTATATATATATATATATATATATATATATATATATATATATATATATATATATATATATTTTAGAGCTTGTGCATGCGGTTTAATTAGTGATGCTCAAAATAACCGATTAACCGTTAACCGAAAGGGTGCATTTGTAACCGATTAATGGTATCAGTTAAACTATATACTAATATATAATTTATACATTTTTAAAGTTTGGCTGCATAAGGGACATCTGTTGAATGGTTTACTGACGGTTGCAACCCGCAAGTGTTTTACACTCTACTTATGCTCGCTCGCACGCCTCAAGTTTTGCCGTTGCGCGCTGTGTGCTTGAGCGGAAAAAGCATGTTACCTAATTCGCTCTTCAGTCGCGTCTTTTTCATTCTTCAGTCAAAAGAAAGCACTGCAAGGTTTCTGTTTAGGTGACAGCGGGGTTTGTAAGTTTCAGCAAGTTCAAGTTCAGCCATGAACCTCCTTGGAAAACCTATTACATCGCCAATCTGAAAACATTTTGGATTCGTGGCGAACGAGAAAGGCGAACCAATAATTAGGATGAAGCTATTTGTACGGCTTGTTTAGAAAAATAAGTGGTCACACTTTACAATAAGGTTCATTAGTTAATGTTAATTAATGCATTTACTAACATGAACAAACAATGAACAATAAATTTACTACTGTATTTGTTCATGTTAGTTAACGTTAGTTAATGAAAATACAGTAGTTCATTGTTCATGTTAACTCACGGTGCATTAACTAATGTTAACAAGCATGGACTTGGATCTTAATAATTCATTAGTAAATTTTCAATTATGATTAATAAATGCTGTACATGTGATGTTCATGATTAGTTCATGTTAGTAAATGCATTAACTAATGAACCTTATTGTAAAGTGTTACCAAATAAGTGTTAAATGGACAAACAAATCTCGAATCTCCAGAGCCATCTGCGGTCATGTCACCAGCCACCCATGACGTGCGGAGCTGCAGCGTCATGTCATCTTCTGAACGCAAATGCCCAGCTATAGGTGTGGCAGAGGCCTTTTCAAAAATGGCCAAATACAAAAGAGAAAGTGATAAATAGTAGACGTTGATGAGAAATGGAACAGCATATTTAGTAGTTGAGAATGCGCCACTCCTCAATGTAGAGAAGCCAGCTTTCCGAGAAATGCGGGCGGCGGAGCAAGATACCCTCTTCGGTTGCAAAAAAGTATCTGCATTTGCGCTACAGGCACACCGTCTGAGCGTGTATTCAGTGCTACTAGAAACATTGTCCCAATTAGACCTCCGCTTAAACTGGACAAAAGTCAACATGTTAGTTTTTCTGGCAAAGAATTAATAGAAAACAAAAGGCGGAGAGACGCTGTTTTTTCAACATCTGATTTATATTGTTAAAAGCATAGGCTAATATTTTTGTTCTTCTTCTTCTTAGTTACTATTTATATTATTATTGATTAGTAAATTGTAATTGTAGGCTATTTGTGAAGTTTTTAATGTAACGTTTAATTGTTATTATACAGTATCAAGGAGTTAAAGTTATTTAATATTTAGGCTAACTACATTATTGTAGGCTGTATTGTGTTGTTTTATCAACGAAAGTGAAACAAACATGTACGTTTGTACAGATATTTTAGCATAATACTTTGGTCTTTGATATTTCTTAATTTTTACACAAAATGTAAATTAATCTATGTAGGCTACAGGGGCGTAATTTGTTGGTGGTACGAGAAGACCATTTTGGCAGTGAATATTGTCCCCATCATTTAAAAAATTTAAATGAATAAATAAATAAATAAAACACCTTATGGATAGAATGCAATGAAGGAAAAGCATGATCTTAATCTTCATTATCTGATTCTTGCAATAAACTTATATTGCGCCGACAAGAACAAGCTGTAAAAGGTAAAGTCTAAAGCGAGAGGAATTATTGATGTTATTAATATCTAGTTGTTAATATTAATGATCATAAACACGACCTGCCTAGAAGCTTTAATAAACGTGGTTACTGTGTCGTGTCTGATTTTTTTCTTGTTGAGGAACAGATAATGCTTACGTTTCCTTGTGAGATCAGGCTGGTGCATTTTAATCCCATATTGCACTTGATCTGATGACTGATTTTGTTGTTCCTTTCATTTACGCAATTAATTCACGTATTACTTTGCACTACTGCCTTAATGACTGAAGGCAGTAATATAGGCCTACTTTTTATAGTAATAATAGGCTAATATGCAGTTTCGCTACCGATTTTATTAATGAAGGTTGGGCAATGATGTCATTTACATTAATGCAGACAGATCATGGCTTAAACACCAAAGAAATGATTTAAATTATATGTACGTTTTCTTATTTATTTCCTTATTTATTAGTTTTAACTCAAAAAATAATTATAAAATGTTTTATAAAAATGAGCAATTTTCAATTTTTTTTACGATTCAGTTAAATATAATTTAGACATTTATGGGGGCAAGTAACATGTTTTTGTGTTTTTTTTCTCAGTTATCTTTCATACATACTGGGTAGCTACGCAAAATATTTTCTAAAATTTCAAGCAGGATTTTGTCTATGGCTTTAATTATGAAGACAATAAAATATTAAAACTAACAAAAATAGAATGAAAATGCAAAGATAAAAAGAGCAGAATTTTGCTAAATTATAAAAAATATTTGTTTTTATTTTACTTGATGCATTCGTTATTTAATGTTTGAATACTTAAATAACAGCCACCGCAGGGCGGTGCTGGATTTGTGCCTACCTTGGATTGAAGACCTGCAGGGGCCCCTGCAGCTGGACATTACTGAAGCGGAGAAAGTAACACTAGTTTGATTATGTATAGATATCATTATAACTATATTGTATAAATATTAATATAACAAGGCCTAAAACATCCTGATGATCAAAAACCAAATGACATGATGACACAGGTGATTGTCTTCTGAGTGCACATGAATGACGCTCCTCATAGAGCTTGAGAAGCATACAGTACTGTATGATCTATATACTTTCTAAAATAAAGACTTGCAGGTTAAAAAAAAACAGCATGGAGGAGGTTGCTGTGGGCCTTAGTGCAGATAAAAAGTTTTTTTTTTAAAGGTGTATTTGTATATACAGAGAGAAATATGTAACTAGACAGAATAGACAAGGATAGATTGATCTCAGCTGCCGAAGAGCTGCGCGCTGCAGACGCAGCTGATGTGAAGGCAAACGCCTGCGTGCTGCTTCTGCTCTCCATACGCGCTGCGCACGCACTGCTTTCACTTGCGGTGTGAAACAGAATGAATGTCTTGTTACGTCCACAAATGCATTTGTTTATTTAATATAAATCCGCAAGATTTGCTGTAATGTAATCACATTGGCTGAAATAGCGATTGCAACTGCGATAAGATCAATCGTTCAGCACTGAATGGTATGGTAAATGTTTCTAAGCAGGATGCAGGTGATTTTCACTATATACAGGAAGTAGTTGGTAACTATAGGCTTCTGAATCAAAAATGTCTGTCTTTTTCCTCCCACAATTTGCAAAATCATCTCTGGCTAAGTTGCCTTATGTTTTTTGACCAACACAGACATTAAGTACTGTAACTCTTCGATAATGTATGTGTCTATTTTTAGCAAATAAGATGCTGCTTTTCTGATGCAACTTACCATGAATCCAAAAAGACTTTAGGAAAGATCTACATTAGAAACTCAGAGATGTGGATTTAAATGACAATTAAAATCACCACACAATCTCTGTGCTGGTCAAAAAAAAAAAAAAAACAGTAGGTAGCCCAGCCAGAGATGAGCTTGCAGGTTTTGAGAGGAAAAATCACAGATATTCTGCATTCAGAGGCCTAGCCACCAAATACTCCCTGAATATAGTGAAAAATGTCCACCGGCTCCCGCCTCAAAATGAGCGAGTTTGAGCTACTTCTACATTAAGGTAGCGTTCAGAAAAAAAAAAAAACACCAGTAGAGAAACCAGACACAGAGGAACATAAAAACCTACTGCCAGCTAGCGTTTTGGAAGTGCAGAGGAACACAAACAGCACAATGAAGTATAAATACATGGCTATGCGCAAGGCAAGCATCGTGGGTCACGCCGATCACTCGACGCACAAGTATGAACCAGGCTTAACGCTACTTTAAATATTGGGTCTGAAATAGTATAAATTCAAAACATCATTAGCACGGTTTCATTGACTGTGAACAATGCTGTATTTTATAGTCATTGGCTGATTATATGATTTTACTATTTAGGATTTGCAAACAATATTTTTCTGAAATTATATTAATAATGAGAAAGTCAGAATGTGCAAATATAAAACCAACTTTACCCCAATGCCAGTTTTGGGGAAATATAATTCCTGCACCCGCTGGACAAAGTGCATGTCTTCATAGAGTTTTCCAGCTGGAGAATTACATGATCTAGTGTAATATAAAGTTGTCTATCATCATATATTAGGTGTGCTTTCATGACTTTAGTGGCTTTACACAGCAGGGGAGGGCCAAACATTTTTAAAGCTCTTATGTTAATGTTAGCATTCTGGCAGATCACCTACTGCACCATTAACCATTGGTCTTTGTAGACCCGTGATGTTTGTGCAACCAAATCCCTTTGCAAATGGTTTTATGGCAATATTACCAGTTTAAAAGAGTGTGAATGTACACTTCACTTTTGAAACATTATTTTTAACAATTTATAATTTGCAACACTCTAATTCAAGTTTTAAGAATTACAAACAGCATGCCAACTGTGACACAGCAAAAGTTACTTACGGACTTCCATCTTCACTTCATCACCACGCTGAGGGACACCTTCTCCATTACTGGCCTCACAGAAATATGAGCCAGTGTCCATCTTAGACACACTCGGGAACTCCTGATCACACAAGTCAAACACATTTACAAAATTGATTCTATAGTAATAAACAAATATAGCAATATACAGTTGAAGAACTATTAGCCCCCCTTAAATTTTTTTTTGTAAATATTTCCCAAATTATGTTTAAGAGAGCAATGACATTTTCACAGCATGTCTGATAATATTTTTTCTTCTGGAGAAAGTCTAATTTGTTTTATTTCAGCTAGAATAAAAAGCAGTTTTTAATTTTTAAAACCATTTTAGGGTCAATATTATTAGCCCCTTTAATATTTGTTTACGATAATTTACAGAACAAACATCCTTATAACAAAAATCCTTATACAATAACTTGCTTAATTACCCTAACCTGCCTAGTTAACCTAATTGACCTAGTTAAGCCTTAATAATGTCACTTTAAGCTGTATAGAAGTGTCTTGAAAATATCTAGTCAAATATTATTTACTGTCATCATGGAAAAGATCAAAATAAATTGTTATTAGAAAGGAGTTATTAAAACTATTATGTTTAGAAATGTGTTAAAACAAATCTCTCCGTTAAACAGAAATTGGGGAAAAAAATAAACAGGGGGGCTAATAATTCAGGGGGGCTAATAATTCAGGGGAGCTAATAATTCTGACTACAACTGTATAGTACTGCATGTTTTCTCGCATTGAAAATAAACACTCACCAAATTTCCATTGAAAACATTCATTTTGTAAGTAAGGTTCTTAAAAGCGGGGAATTTGGTTGGGTCCTCAGGGAGGGGGGTGTTGTCTTTGTACCACTTGTAGGTAGATGGAGGAGAGCCAACTGGGTCAAAGCAAGTCAGCCGGACATTACTGCTTGTTGTGACAGAGGAAGGTATTCTGGATACGGGCTTGGCGGGAGGAACTGAAGTAGGGAAAAAGATAGCAGGTTTGAAACAACATGAATGATAAGTTCCCACATTTTGCAGCTTATCCCAGGTGAAAAAAAATATAATTAAAAATGCAAATAAAATACATTTCAATACCCGCAAATACATTTTTAGTACATTGTTATTTTTTGTTTAAATAAGTTTGATGGTTTTACACTATAAATATACTAATTAAAAGTATGTTTATACTTCAGTAGGACTTTAGTACACTTGACAAAAGTACACTAAATACCAGTAATACTTAAATAAATTTTAGTGTACTACAATAAAGTACACTACAGAAAAAACATCCAAAAGAGTTTTATTTTTGTGTTTTTTAAAAGTGTGCTTTAAATGCTGTAACAATTAGTTTATTTTTAGTACACTGTTTACATACTAATCCTAAGTTCAAAATAAGTTAATATATACAAAATCTATTAGTAACGTATTGTAGTAGAAGTACATTTTCCCAAAAGTTGTACTTAAGTACACTTAATGTGAATGCAATTTCACTAACACTTAAATTGATTTTGAGGTGTGGTAATTTTAGGTTTACATCAAATTGACTTTATTAAAAATCTATTACTAATGTATTGTAGTAGAAGTACTTTTTCCCAAAAGTTGTACTTAAGTACACTTAATGTGAATGCACTATTATCACTAACACTTAAATTGATTTTGAGTGTAGTAATCTTACCAAAACATTATTGTCTTGAAGTATGTGTGTGTTGTAAGTCAAGGAATGATCAGGAGAGCCAAGAATTGGCATGCAGAAGGGATGATATGTTTGTGTATATCCAGTGTAGTCAATAATATGATAATCTAAGGAAACATATGTTTTACATTGCATATTCTAAAATTGTTCTGGACTGTTTATCCTTCTACCTAATTATCTTTTGTCTAACCAATTACATGAGGATGTCTAAACAATCTAATGACATGGGTTAGTGTACTTAGTGTATTTTAGCACACTGCTTTCACATTTTGTATACTCTTTTAAATATTACTATTATGCTTTAAGCTATTCTTAAATATATTTATAAATATGTTTAAAATTAGGGTTCAAGTGTATTTCTAGTTGTAACTAAATATATTTTTTAAAATACAGATATAGTATGTTAAAAGCACATTTTAGTTCAATTTCAGAGTGTCTCAATAGCACAGTTGAGTACACTTAGATGGTATTAAGTGTATCTTAACATATACTTAATACTTACTATTCGGTAGTAAGACTATGCATAACTCAAACTGATTTACCAAGTACTGTGAGTTTAATGGTATTCTCTCCATATCCACCACTTCCAGACACCTCACAGTCATAGTCTCCAGTGTCTGCTCGTGTCACTTTGTTAAATCGGAGTCCTTTATCGTACATGGTGACACGGCCTGTATATTGACCTGATGAAAAAACAAAACACAAATGCAACATCTCATTGATCTATTCTCATTTGACACATTAACAGACAATAAGAGAAGGTTTTAAAGTTGCGTTCATACCAGTTGGCTTGCCATCAAAGTAGACTAATGTCTGAGAGCCTTTGAGATCCTTGAACTTCCATTCTACTCTGGGTGTTGCTCCAAAGTCAGAAGTGTAGGAACATTGCAAGTCAACTCCTGAAAGAAAACAGCAATGCTTTGTTTATCTTCCTGTGCAAATAAGGATGCGTCCAAAATGAAGATCATCCAAAACAGGCAGATACGATTTTGGGCCAGACGACGGTTACATTTGTAATGCTACACAATAGTGCAAAACATTTAAGTTTATGCTTTACCTCATGACGCCTTGGACAAATTATGGGAGCAACTTAAATTAAACTGTAAACAGTCAGTTATTAACTTCGTTACAGTATTGGAGTAAGAATGTAATTATAATCATTTGCAAAAACATCATTCACTCAACCACGGAACATTAAAAAGTGTAAAATTATAATGAGAATAAAAGGGTAAATATTAATAACTAATAAAATACTAATAATTAATATTTCTATAAAATGTAATACTAAATCTAGGTTTATCTAGAGCTGGGCTGATATAAAATATTATATTGAATCACGATACAATTGTCAATTACAATAATAAGCCCTGGACCTTTTTACTCTATATTGATCTAAGAGCCAATTACACAGCAGAAATGAGCAACAATGTGAATCTAAAACAGTGTTGATATTAGAGATGTACCAAAGTTTGCCACCATTAAAACTTTTATCGAAATATAAATCGTTATTGTTCAAAATGGAAAATAATTATTGAGATTGCATTTTTGCCATATCGCCCAGACCTAATTGGAAAATGGGTGAATAGTTCATTGTTCAAGCTCTAATGTTGACTTTCCCATACTTATGTTCCAGTACTAATTATAAGAAATAAAGGCAAAATAGATGACAGATTTTGAAAAACTGTACATCTATGGAAAAATAGGAGTAAAGATTATATTCAAGACACACACACACGCACACCAAATATAGATACAAAATAATTAGGAGAGACAGAACTACTAAAGTACTGAAAATAAATCTTGTCCTAAATATTCTTGTGAGACCAATGTCAATTATACATTTCAATAATAATAATTATAAGTGAAAGACAAACAAATGGGTCAGGAAATATAAAATTAAACTTACCCTCATTCTCTTTCACTTTTACTGGAGAAGTAACAGTAACTTGAAAACCATGTATGCCTGAAAAACAGAAAAAGATTTCAGTCTTTAAATATGTTGGTAAAATTAATTGTGTTCAAACATCAACTTCATAAAGATCATCAGGATAAAAAAAATAATTATAAATTTTTTTTTTAATAAACATCAAACAAAAGTAGCTAAAATTTGATCTAAATATCCCTGCCAGAAATGATTACAGATGACACACATCCTCAATCTAAATGATAAAAAGCATCTATATAGTTAATTGGGAAAAAAATATTTCATAAAAAATATATATACTACTGTATATTATAAATTTGATTTAAATATATGTGCAATTCCAGCGTTATGTATGTGACATTTGCAGGAAGCACTCAAAAAATAAATTCACATAGAAAGTATGTTAACATTATATTGAAACAGCTGTATATTTTCGAGAACAACCGAACACAGAGTTCTGGGATGAGAAAAATACCAATCTGTGAAATTTTTTATGTTTTTAATGAGGGAAGTAAACATGCATCATGGATGTGACAAAAAAGTCTGTGAGTTTACAGTATACAACATACTTTGTAGATATTCTGTGAATTAAACTGCATGACCTAAAAGAAATAACGATAATTAAAAGGATAAGAGTTGGTTCTCTATAGAACAAACATAATTGATTTTATTTTATATTTTTGCATTTATTAGGAAAAAATGTTGTTATGGATGTGACATCTCTTTGTTATGGATGTGTTATGGATGTGACATGTAAAATTGCCACTTGGGCCTTTGGTAAATCAAATATAATAGTTTGAAAACATTGACAGAGACATGTTTGAGTATTTCTAAAGTACTTTAAAATACTTGCTTACACAAAAAACTTAGAAACGACTTCCATATTTTGGTGAAAACTTTCATGGCAAGGTTGACATTTGCATGGAATTGCTCATATATTTTTTTATATTTCTAATAAGTTAAATAATGGATTTTTGTACTTATTTTTAGAACTACTGAATATGGATGTTAAATATATTTATTTGCACAATCAGCAACTTATTTTAACTTAAGGTGTATTTATTTATTTAACTATTTATTTAAATCCTTCTATGGAGCTCATAGCAGAAACCTGTGGTTTGCTGTTTTCCAGTTTAAAAGAAGCTAATTTAAAGAAACCGATTCACCTTATTATACAATGCTGAAGTAAGATCTTTACTGCAATTGTTTTGTGACCTCTGATTAACTTGCTTTGGGCAAATTACTAAATATACCAAATGCCAGTAAATGGTCAAACAAGTGTGTGTTTATGACAATACCTTAAAATTTTAATAATATGAAAGTAAAATAACAAAGCAGAATAATAAGCAGTTTTGCATGGCTAAATATTAATGGAGGAACATTTATAGCAACCAGTTTTGCAAATAATCTACTTTTGTGGGAAAAATAAGGTTAATTATTCTTCCTAAGTATTAAAGACAAATTATTTCTTCGTAGTTCATATAGGGGAACACACACCATATGCAAAAGGTTCTCTATAGTTTGCACAACCATAAATGTTTCAGAATAGCTCTACTATGTTTCAGATGATGGTCATCTCAGTATAAAAAGTTGAAGACATAATGTTTTTATTTACAGCACACTGCCAACAGACTCATTTGTAACAAACATGTCAGCATATTTACTTTCTGTGAGAAAGACCAAGAAGAGAAACTGTCATGTTTACTTCAAGGCAAGATATCAAAGGTGACAATTAACCACTACATTTAGAATTGCTGGAAGAAAATGTATTTACTTTTTTCCCCAAAATTGTGTTTAAACATCTAAATGAATCAGGTTAGAGATCTTATTTAAATTTTAGACTAGAATAGACTGTCATTGTATGTGAAACTATGAACCTGTTGGTGTTCTTTTCACCATTAAGTGCCTGCAAATAAAATACAATAAAATTTCAACCTAGAAAATAACTAATAAAGAAAATAGACAAAAGAGTGTTAAAACTTTGACATGTTCAAAAGTGTGTGTGTGTGTGTGTTTACAGAAGTAACTTTAGGTATTTCTTCCATAATTTAGAAACAAAACCGTAAACAGCCTTCATTAAAATCTCAAAATGGACAGGTGTATGAAAAAATATATATATTTCAGTGGTTTTGCCTTCAAAGGCTTCAAACTTGTTGGAAAAATCATGACAACAACAAAGACGTTAATGTAAAAGTCAGTGAAGAACAATTAAAAAGCTGAACAATTTTTTCAAGTGGCTGTAGCTTTGTGAATAATACTTGTAAACAAATGATACCCAAATACGTTGTATTCGCAACAACACTTTCATATGTAGCTCAACAGGATATTGTTCGCGCACGCGCGCAGCTCTAACTCACCATCAACTATTAACAGTTGTTATCGTCACTGGCGGAACACCATTAACGTTTAAAATTAATATATAATAATTTCGCTTTATTAAACGACGACTAAACTATTTGAACATGCGTCCCGGGTTACCTTTCATCTGTTGTAAATTCCCCAGTTAGATATAGCTCGGGTTTCGGATGGGGGTTGGGCGAGGTGGAAATACAGGTTCTCCAGGTGATATCGATGAGCCGTGAAAGGCCTTTTTTCCGTGTATACAGTGATAATTAGACTGTTGTTTCTTCTCAAGCTCAGCACAAAACTTACGATAAAATTACCAACAAAGCAGGACAAATTTGCTATATAAGCATTCCCTTACGAAAACAAAGTTGACTCGGTTCATTGAGTTGTTGCTTAAGATTGTAAATAAGGTCATCAAATATTACACACTGTTCGGGCGGTTACACAGTCAAGTGTAACTCGACATTTAACGTTACAAGCTGGTTCACTGAAGTCCAGACTTAAAGTAACGTTATTGGAGTAGTTTGCTAAATTTAACCTATGCGTGTACGGTTTTAAACTATAAAGTTCTGACTAAAAAGCTCACGGAAGACAGCAGTCGACGACACGACGTATACTGGAAAACCAAAAGTACAAATGGTTCAAACACTGAAAACATGGACTCTTAACGTTACCTGTGACGAAGAGTGAGAAGCACACAAAGGCGAAGGTCAACATATTCACTCCAAAATGATACGAAAGTTCTCCAGAAAAAGTCTCCTTATAGGAAAAAACAAATCCCCGTTTGATTGTAATGTTTTCTCGAACTTTGAAGTAGCCGTGTATTTGCTATGCACTCACGAAGCTGAGCCCAGATAAGAAGGAAGGCTGAAACTAACGCCCTTCTGAGCGATACTGTGTTTACCTGTTCCGTGTGTGATTGGTTGGATCGTCTGCACCATGACACCCCGGTGTATGACGTCATGAAAGTAAACTCAGGTGCAAGCCAGATAAATTACACAAAAAAATCAGTTTTAATGTCTGAACTGTTGAATAAACATCCTTAAAGAGAATGTTGTATACATACTTTAGAAGTAACCAACATGATCTGGAAGAAACTGTGAGTGGGCGTGGAGAAGCATAAGCTAGAGATAGCCTAGTTACTGTCAAAAAGGGTTTTAGTTAGAAAGTTGTATGTATTACATCGGGCACAAAGTCAATATTCAAACATCTTATACATCTCGTTATAAAATGACATTATTACAGTAGCCAAGGTGAAAAACAGTGGATCATGTTTCTACATGTTTATCTGAGGCAATGTAGTTAGGCCTCATGTCATGGGGCACACAAGAAAACCCAGCAAAGGATATAAGATGAGATTAACAATTCCAATGAAACTAGATATAACCCAGAGACAGAAGGTCATCAACTTGAGTTTCTATCAAAATGAGTTGATAAATCATCACAATTGTTCTGAATGAATGAAATCGCTCGTGTGAAAATAAAAGTGCCAAGTACTTTTTAGCTTTGCACTGTTGTGCTTTTATTTTCACCTGTAGAATTACAAAAGGTTTTGTCCAGTGAAAAACAACCATAGCATCACCCGACCAAAGCATATTAACCACATTATGTAAATATGATGTGGCATTTCCTGTTGGGTTGGACAGAGACAGTTTCAAAATGAAAAAGTAAATATTACCATGAGTTTGGTCTTCAGAGGTTTTTCTGTCTACTCTTACCCCTAAACACATAAAATAAATGTCATTTTAAAAAGAGAGAGATTTTCTGTATTTGATAACATATTTTGAACATTTTATTATTATTATTATTATTATTATCATCATCATAACCTTTATTTTACCAGCAAAAGCACATTCAGATTAACAATCTCTTTTACAAGAGTGTCCTGGCCAAGCTTAGGCAGTATACAGTTCACACGGGTTGAACATAGAAACAAAAATCAGACAACATTCATCCAAAATAGACAATGACAGTTAAAACTCTTCAGAACATCTACAGGCCGATGTTTGAAACTGCAAATCATTTAAATCTTCTTAAAAGCATGTAGTAAAACCAACTCTTTAAACTGAAACTTTGTTTGGAGGTTATTCCATGGAAAAGGTGCTGCATATTTAAAAGCCTTTTTTTCCCATTTTAGTACACACCACTGATACAGACAATAAATAAACTTCCTGAGACCGAAGGCTACAGAGAGTTTTTTTTTCTTTTTACAAATTTGGAGATATGAGGGGAGTAAACCCAGAATAGACTTATACACAAAGAAATGCTAATTCTTGAGCTTACGAGTGGATGAAGCAGACCAACACTAATTTCAGATATTTTGTAAATACACCACACAAATTCAAATCAACACAGATCGTTTTATTAATCACCAAAATTAATAATTGGTCGCACTTTACAACAAAACGTTCTACTAATTACACTAAACAAACAGCCCAGATGTTTGCATTTATGAGTGTTTTTAAACTAAAAAATCTATAATTATTACAACAATATTGCTAAATGTTTTACTGCTTGTACTTGACTTTTGAAATTTTTCCTAAACAGGATAAGCTGAAGATAGAAAAGCATTCATTTACTGCTACTGAGTACTTTTTTTCTGACCCAAATTATCAGTTTACTGAAAGCAACAAGTCTCCATTTATGCAGACTATGATCATGGAACTTCTTACACAACTAAGTGTTAGTTAGATGGCACCAAAAATAATAGCAGCTTCTCTTTTTTGTCTTTAAGAATAATAGCGTCTAACTCCCTTATTTCCCTTTTTGAGATGTATTGTTGCGTCAATAGGTCACGTTTTTTGGGCCTGAGGGGGAAGTTTTATTTCTGATGTTTTAGTCAGTTGAACTATTTTATTTTGAAAAGACAAAACTTTCTATTTAACATTGATTTTTATTTTATGTTTTGTCCTACTGTAGTAGAATTCTGCATAATTTAAGTCAGTTTTGGCTCTAAAGCTTTAAATACATTAACAGATTTAGGAACAATGTCCACAGTAGTTTGTTAAAATGCTAAAGGGCATTTTTTTGTAAGGTCTGTTCTAATGCATTTTTAGTCTGTGTGGTCTCACAAAATCACAATTTATCCACTGGTATTTGTTTACATAATCTAGGTTGGAGAAAACACAGCATTAGAAAAAACAGTTAGTCATAAACACAGCAGGGAGAGAATTAACTGAGTCAGACCATGGAAGTTCTAGTAACTTAATTTTACATATAGCCTAACTTTGGGGTACTTCATTGCATGCATAAAACTTATTTGAATTGCACTTTTGTCATTTAATCAATATTGTGGGTTAATTTATGTCAGATAATTTTTTACCTATTGTCGAACACAAAAGAAGATATTTTGAAGCATGTTGGAAGCTGGTAGCCACTGAGGTATTTTTGATATGGATTACAGTTAATCCCAGTTTCCAACATTCATATATTATTTTGTGTTCATCCAATGAAACAGTCATAGGGGTTAGGAGCTACATGAGGGTGTGTAAATGGTGGGTAAATGTAGGTGAACTATTAACTGTACTTAATAGATGTCACAATATCGATATCACTTTTAAGTAAATAAAGCAAAATACATGAATTTAGCAGCAAAACATGACATTTTTCAAACTTTCATAAACAGAAATGAAGGTCACAGCAGCAAATTCTTCTAGTGCACAGGTGTCAAACTCAGTTCCAAAAGGGCCGCAGCTCTGCACAGTTTAGTTTCAACCCTAATTAAAAACACCTGATCAAACTAATTGAGTCCTTCATGCTTGTTTGAAACCAACAGGTAAGTGTGTTGGAGCAGGGTTGGAACTAAACTGTGCAGGGCTCGGCCCTCCAGGAATTGAGTTTGACACCCCTGTTCTAGTGAATCTGCAGTCCTTTACTGTGAGTCCAGCGTATGCAATGCTGTCTTAAAGTGAAACAAAAATTCGGTCATCCTTTACTCTCCCTCAAGTGGTTCCAAACCTGTTTGAGTTTCTTTCTTCTGTTCAACAGAAAAGAAGATATTTTGAAGAATGCTGCAAACCAGTGGTTACTGACTTCCATAGAAGGAAAATAAATACTATAAAGTCAGTGGCTACCGGTTTCCAACATTCTGCAAAATTACAAATATGAACTGAAAGACAGATGTGATAATACTGCACATTTTATACGTGTTATTTAAATGTTTTTTTTTATATAAACAAAGTTTAAACAACTATGCCTAAACATCATTGGATTGTAAAAGCAATCTAATCTACTACTAATGGAACAAGTAATATGATTTAAGCAAATGCAGTGCAACATAACAAAACACCCTATGGAAAGCAAAGAATGAAGCCTAACAGGATTTGCAACAATTTTTCTCTCACACTGTGCTGCTTCTGTTTCATTGAACTTCTGTATTTTACATTTACTTGAATACACAATGCTTCAAGATAAAGATCTTTCTTTTAACTCTCAGACTGAAGGGAGACCAAGGTCATGAAGAACCAGCTTTGGATATGGGAAGCAGGAAATACAAATGAATCTATATAGTTCTACATATAAAGTTGAAGTCAGCAATATTAACACCCCCCCCCCCCCCCCCACACACACACACACAATTTCTGTTTAACGAAGAGAAGATTTTCTCAACACATTTCTAAACATAATAGTTTTAATAACTCATTTCTAACAACTGATTAATTTTATGTTTGCCATGATGACAGTAAATAATATTTGACTAGATATCTTTCAAGACACTTCTATACAGCTTAAAGTGACATTTAAAGGCTAAACTAGGTTTATTAGGTTAACTAGGCAGGTTAGGGTATTGATAAGGTAATTTTGACAATTTAAGGTAATTTTGACCTTAAAATTGTGTTCAAAAAATTAAAAACTGCTTTTATTCTAGCCAAAATAAAATAAATAAGACTTTCTATAGAAGAAAAATTATAATTAGACATACTGTAAAAATTTCCGTGCTCTGTTAAACATCATTTGGGAAAAATGGGAAAAAAATAATAATAATTAAAAGGGGGCTAATAATTCTGACTTGAACTTTATAAGCAAACTATGGTTGACAGTATAGAACAGGGTTGAGTTTTCATATGTACAGTAGATTACTCAGTTAGCTTGAATTCGTCAAGGATTTGACAAGATTCAGGATAAAGTTTTGTTCTTCAAAACTCTTCCAAGAGTTGTTGTCAGCAACATGTCTGTAAGCTGCTACTATTCTCTTACAAGAGTATTTTTTTTGAATTGGCGAACATAAAAATGAATGTATAATATTTTTTTTAAAAGTATCTTAATTTCTTCAACGAACATAAAACCTCTTTCTCAGAAATAAAGGTGTAACTGCAGGGGGGTATGGCTCCAGACCATACACTTTTATTTTTAGGAACTTAAGTCTGTATATGGACCTTTTAGGTAAACACATACATTGAAACAATATCACCCTAGCTTGTTTACCTCCGTTTCTGAAAGTTTATGATAATACACATGGCCAGTATTCTCACTGAGAGATTTATCTGTGAATAAATAATGATATAAATTTGATCTAGTCATGCACACATGTAAATCTGAATGTTGACAGCTAATATGTGGTGTAATGCAGAAGATGCAGACCACTTATCATATTTTTGATTAATTTAAATTAGCAACTATAAATTAACTAGTCAGGGATTAAGAAACTTGAATGCCTTCACATATAGCAAATCCATCCTATAGGCAAGACTAAATACACTACTAAATGCACACAAAATTGTAAACCAATATACTATAAAGGGTGAACAAATATTGCGTTTCATTTAACAAACACTTTTATACATTGAAATTGTTTTTTTTTTTTTTTTGCTTACAAGACTGATAATTGAATCTGATGATGTCAATAATAATGTTGTTGTCTTGGCGCCAGTTAATCGCCAGTTCAATGAATGATCTTGAGCTCACGCAGTAATCTCTGATCAATTCATTCAGATGTGTTCATCTGATTGGCAAAGCTGGGTCTGTCATCACAAGTTTCTACAGGTTTTTCCAAGTTAAAGACTTAAGACTTTTAAGACATTTTCAAGACCATTATGAATGAACCCATGAATGAATATGAAAAACATTATGAATTAATTTTAGACCTGTACAGGGATAAACACTAAGGATTTATTTTTTTTTTGAATATTGGAAAAGATTTACATTTGCCCTATCAAATCAAAATTCTAACAATTGCATACATCTAATAATACATAATGCATACATAATAATAATTTAATAATAAAAATACTAGTTAGGAAAATAATAAAACCATTATAGCAAATAAACAAAAAAATGTTATTTTTAAATAAAAAGTTAAAAGTTTTATTGTGATGGATTGTTGGTGAATGTATGGGTTTTAGCCAGATAGGGTAGCTATACATAAACAAAGAAAAAGACATGTTAAAAAAAAAGAGACCTACAACATAATGTTTCAGTAGATTAAAGACATTTTAAGGCTTAAATTTGAGTTTTTGAGATTTAAGACTTTAAGACCACACGGATATCCTGAAAAAAATCCATATCTGTCAAATCATCACAGATCTTTTAAGTGAGGTATGAAAAACAGACCCCAGCTGTATAAAAACAAATGTAATTACAATAACATCTGAAATCAGCACATGAAATAAGTTCTTTGACTTATAGCAGTAATGATGAATGATATCATCTACACTTCATGTCCAAGTTTTTGCAGCTCCAGCTTTAGCTTGGTCACTTCTAATTCCAGTTTCTGGATCTCTAGTTTTAGCTTCACCTCCTGCAACATGAACACGCCATACTGTTTTTCCATTATGTGGCTGTTGGTGATCTTGCCTGGAATGTTGTGTGTCTCCATGCTCAAGTTGCTCTTCACATCCAGCACTTGACTGCTGTCTACATCATCTATATAACAAACATAATATTTTAGCAATGCACAGGAGGATTTTATTAGATTATTGAAACATTTGTTGTCTTTAACACTCACCAAGTGTCAGTATTAATCAGTGTCCCTCAAATCAGTATTAAAAATAGGAACTTTAATGTCAAAATACTTTTTTAGCTGTTAAACATCCCATAGAAAACAATTAAAACATATACAGTGTTTGGGGAAAGTATTCTTAGAAAAAAGTTACAGCCTAATTCCAAAATTATTCTTCAAAATTTTACACACAATACCCCATAAAGATAATGTGAAAAAAAATTAATTGTTGCAAATTTATTAAAAATAAAAACCCTGAAAAATCACATAAGCATAAGAATTCACAGCCTTTGCTCAATACTTTGTTGATGCATTTTTGACAGCAATTACAGCCTCAAGTCTTTTTGAATATAATTCCACAAGCTTGGCACAACTGTCTTTGAGAATTTTTGGCCTACTCCTCTTTGCAGTGCCTCTCAAGCTCTATCAGGTTGGATGGGAATTGATGTTGTACAGCCATTTTCCAACCATATATTGTACTCACAAGTCTGTCCAAGCAGTTCTGAGATAAAAAAAAAAAAAAAAAAACTCCAAATGTTCTCAGAAAAGTTTCCACAGTCGTAATGTGCCCTGTTTATGGCATTTTAAAGATTCCTAATTACAAACTATTCTCATAATACACATTTTACATCAAGTGACTGCTCGGTAAGCGCCATCTTTCGGTTGAGATAAACCTGTCTGTGGTCATTAAAAATCCCAGGATGTCTTTTGATAAAGAGTAGGGGTTTAACCCCAGCATCCTGGACAAATTTGCACACAGGCCTCTGTCCATTATGGCCTCCCAAACATCAACAAGCAAATTGGTTTCATCACTGTCTCCTCTCCACCTATCAGCTGGTGTGTGGATGCTGCACACTGATGGTAGATGAGGAGATTCCCCCAAAAAATATGTAAAGCACTTTGAGTGTTCAGAAAAGTGCTATATAAATGTAAGGAATTATTATATTATTATTATTATCTGAAATGTATATAAATCAATTTGCAATATAAATAGATAAAAAAATGGTCCTGCATGGTTAAAGAAAAACTATTACAAATATCACAATTAAAATAAAATTTTACAATTAACAGTCAATTTGCATTATTGCATGTAGATTTGCACACTTAGCTTTAGATTCAGCATGGTTTTACTTGTTTGTTTTTGATGTTTAGATTTTTCACACATCCTACTCTTCGTCCTATTCCTGGGCGCCCTCAAATGTACAGCCTCAAATTTGCATTTGCTTCAGCCTGAGGTTTATTCATATGGCCTTGGCATTTACAAATGTTTTTGTATTATTCCAAAGAAGCCTAGACAGAACAACTCAAATGTAATAGAAAAGTAATGTAACATTATTTTCCCTAAATAAAATCCAAGTAACACATTACAATTTTTTTAAGTAAGCAAGCATTGCTTACACAAGTTTTGCCTCAACAGTAAATGTTGACAACACACGCAATGTTTAAGAGCAGGTCAAATTAGATGTTCATAGACTGTCAAAAAACAAAAAAAACAAAACAAAGCCTAGCATTATGAAAATAAATTATTCAGATCAACGTAGATCAGCAAAGAAAGTAAATTGGTATTTGCTGGTGCTTTTTGCAGTTCACAATCAACTATTAGTTTTAGAAGATTATTAATCGCCTTACACTTCTATCTTTAAAATCTTAGCAAACCTTTTGTCATCACACTTTATTCCCTTCCAGCTGCAACCAATCACTGGTAAACATCTATACACTACGGACAAATTAGCCAACCCAATTCACCTGTACCACGTCTTTGGACTGTGGGGGAAACCGGAGCACCCGAAAAAAACCTACACGAGTGCCAGGAGAACATGCAAACTCCACACAAAAATGCCAACTGACCCAGCCGAGGCTCGACCCAGTGAGGTGATCATGCTATCCACTGTGCCACCGTGCAGCCTGTGGGGGCAGTAATTATTTGAAATCAAGGACATTATACTTACAAACTTCCATCTTCACTGCATCACCATGCTGAGAGACACCGTTTTCATTACTGGCCACACAAAAATATGAGCCAGCATCCCACTTAGACACACTCAAGAACTCCTGATCACACAAGCCAAAAAAATGTGCAAATATAAATAATTATACTAATGTACCAAAAGACATTTAATTCAAAACAATCTAAGATTATAATATTAGATGAACATACCAGGTTTCCATTGAAAGCATTCATCTTATATGTGAGGTTCTTAAAAATGGGAAACTTGGTTGGGTCCTCAGGGAGGAGGTTGTTGTCTTTGTACCACTCATAGGTGGATGGAGGAGAGCCAACTGGGTCAAAGCAAGTCAGGCGGACGTTACTGCCTGTTGTGACTGATGAAGGAATGCTGGATACAGGCTTGGAAGGAGGAACTGAAGTGAATGGAATGGAGGGTTATAATGATAAGGATGATTTGTGCTACAATATTTCAAAGCTATATTTTTGCACCCACCAAAAAAATACAGACAAATTGAACAAGACACAATTTTGCTATTAGGTAGAGTTGCGCTTTCTAATGATGTATATATTACTGAAATTTATCACAAAGTAACAGGCTTTATCAGTGTTGGGGAAACTACTCTGAAACTCTAGCTTGATAAGCAACAAGCTTCTCATTAGAACAAAAGTAGCTAAGCCACTCTCAAACTAGCTACATTCCAAGTTATTTTCTAAAAGTAACTAGCTACACTCTTAGAAATAAAGGTACAGGAACTGTCACTGGGGCAGTACCTTTTCCAAAGATACATATTTGTACCCAAAGAGTCCACAGTGGCACCTCAAAGGTGCATTTTAGTGCCCAAATGTACCTAAAAAGTGCCTTTGAGGTACCATTATGGACCTTTCAAGAACAAATATGTATCTAGAAAAGGTACTGCCCCAGTGACAGCTCTTATACTTTTATTTCTGAGAGTGTACATTGAAGCGTTTTTTTTTTCTTTTCTCAAAGACATCAATAAAAGAATAAGCTTTACATTACATTACTGTCAAGATTGAAAGTAAAAAACTGCAACACATGACGCATTGCAATAACAAAACACCTTTGATTAAAAGTGACATGGCTCCATAAATCTTAGTGAAGCCCTTGGGCAACGTTCTAACTTTACATTGAATGGCAACTGTTAGAATACTTTATAAAATTGAATATGATTTTTTGCAAAATAACACTGATATATAAACGTGAGACCATGAGATGTGTGATTTACTAATAGATGGCTGTTATTTACTATTGTAGTATGTGATCTTTAAGACTTCACTGTAAAGTAGAGCTGCTGGAAATTGGAAACTGCTGGAAAAGTAGCTACTGGAAAAGCTACATTGTATCATCAAGTAGGTGAGCTACTGTCAGGCTACTGAAAATGTAGCTAAGACAGTAGCTGAGCTACTTATAGCTTAACTTCCCAACACTGGTATTTATAGAGTTGCCAACATTTGAAGTTCATCAAAGTTGTCCCAGGACAAGAATCAGATGGAAGATTTTGATCCACTTCAAATGCTATTGTATTTATATGTACACACATAATTCAAATTTACCAGAGACTACAAGTTTGATGGTATTCTCTCCATATCCACCGTTTCCAGAAACCTCACAGTTATAATCTCCAGCGTCTGCTCGCGTTACTTTTTGAAATCTCAGTCCTCCAGCGTACACAGTGATGCGCTGTTCATATTCAACTGAGGAGAGAAAAAAAACAAAAAACATCTTTTCTCAATTCCAATTTTGAGACCAATCAACAAAATCACAATTAAGGAATGAAACTGCACGGACAAAAAAATATACTTGAAGACATCAGGGAAGTTTTTATCTATACCAGTTGGTTTGTTATTAAAGTAGATGAAATACTGAAAGCCCTTCAGATTTCTGAACTTCCATTCTACTCTGGGTGTTGCTCCAAAGTCAGCGGTGTAGGAACATTGCAAGTCAACTCCTGACAAGATAAACATAAGATAAATAAAACACTTGGTTAAATGAGTATACTGTTTCTCATGACCGAAGTCTTGAGTGAGGATCAATACAGAGGTGCTCTTCAATAAACTCATATTAACACCACCACACAAACAAAATTACTATTCTATACAGAAAAGACGATGAATAACAGGAAAATAATCTGATTCAAATTACCCTCATTCTCCTTCACTTTTACTATGGGACCATTAACAGCCACTGAAAAGGAAGCATGTAGGCCTGCACACAGAAACAGATATTAAATCTTCAATAACATATACAGGTTCTTTAAATCACTTTTAAAAATGATTCAACTGCATTAATAGTTGTAAATAAAAATGTCCTGAAAATATGAAAAAATGAGTTAAATAAGCTATTTTAATACTTTTTAAAAGTAAAAATCATGACAAGGGCAAAGAGATGCTTTCTGCTCCCTTTATAAATACCAAAAAACAACACAACACCCATACAGAACTGTTACAAATAAGATTTAAAAAGTTGACAATGAGTTATGTTACTTCAGCTTTTTAATTATGTTAATCAGGTTTTAACATAAGTTAATTTACACAAATTTTGCATTGATGTCTTAAGTTAGTATTATTTGTTTAAACAAAAATAAGGCTTTTTTTTCACAGTGTATGAACTTTAGACAATATTTTTTCATGAATTTACAAGAGAAAAAAAATTTAAGAAAATGAGAAAACTGTCTGAACGAAATAATATGATCCACAAAGAAAAAAAACAAACAACCACTGAAGAAATGGACTCTTACCTGTGAGTGAAAAAGAGAGACACACAAAGACTAAAGTCAACATTTCCAGTCTGAAATGATAGAAGGTTTTCTACGGTATGCGTTTCAAATGTTACCCGAAAGTATATTATTTTAGCAGAACCGTGTTGCAGCTGTTTATTTGCTAGGTCCGCACAAAACTGAGTGAAGATAAGCAGAAACTTATCTGAAACTGGTTAGAAGCTCCAACTGCACATTAGGAAAGCAAGCACAGTTTTGAGGTTAGACAAATAATTGGAAATCATTCTCAGAATGAACCTTGGGAGTCCAAACATTGCCTTTATGTGCATACTTGGTTAGTAGCCCACAAGATAAGACACAGGAACAGACCTGTCAGGAAGGAAACTAATTACAGATTATAATTCATACTGGTTTTGCCAAAACAAAAGAAGAAAGGATATTGTTTAATATCAGGAGTACAATTTGTTGAAACAAGTTTGAATTGGTGAAGCCTGAAATTTTTTATTTGCTTTAAAAAAGATTTGAACCAGAAAGATGTTTTTATTTTTTATTGATTTCCCTAATTTGACCATTATTTTCAGCTGTTCGGGAGGAAAACAAAAGAACATGACAGCACTAGCAGCACACTCCACCCCGTAAACAAAACTGACTAACCATATTATGTAAATGTGGTGCATTTCTGGCGGGGGTGGATAAGTAAACCACCAGTCCTACTGCACCCAACCCACGCTGAGCTGGGATTGAACCGGCGATTTTTTGTATGGAAGTCAGTTGCTCTAACAAGGAGACTAAAGACTATGGCCTCTAGCGTCTGTCGCTAGAGCATCTTTAGAGGCTAGATGAGTGAGGTTTATTTGCACAGCCCTTCGTCAGCTGCCCTCCGATACACTTACCCACCAAAACCTCACTCCCATCCCGGACGGGCCCCCACATGTAAACCACCAGTCCTACTGCATCCAATCCGCGCTGAGCTGGGATTGAACCAACGATTCTTTGTATGGGAGTTGATTGCTCCAACAAGTAGGCTAAAGACCATGACCTCCAGCATCTGTCGCTAGAGCATCTTTAGAGCACCTGCACAGCCCTTCGTTAGAGATATTTTATGAGATTGCACTGATTCAGACTGTACAGACTTAAGTCAGGTGCCTTCTTTAATGTGCTGTGTTTAGATCTTTTCACGATACTCCAAAATAAAAATACAAATAAAACAAAAATAGGACAATGAGCACAAATGTAAGGCCTAGCCAAGCTCAGTTTAATAATATGTTCAGGATTAGGATCTGGATCTCTTTCCAGGTTTAATCTAACCTCATCAGATATTTTCACCGCTATCTCACCGCAATTCGAAACTTTGTGATTTAGTGGCTAACTCGTATAAATTCTTACGATCTCATTGTACAATATAGATTTGCTCAAGACAGTTGGGTTCAGGTGCCACGCTTCCTTTTTAAAATCGTACATTGTCGTATGACTAAACTCATACGAATTAGCCACTAAACTGTCTTGTGAGATCAGACTACTATTATAGGAAAAGACTCCAAGTCAGGTGATTAGCTAGGCCAGTGGTCTAAAACTCAATTCCTAGAGGGCCACAGCTCTGCATAGTTTAGTTCCAACCACCTACAAATCACACCTGCTTAATAGTCTATAGAAATCTTGATCACCTTGTTAAGTTAGATCAGCTGTGTTTGATTAAGGTTGGAGCAAAACTGTGCAGAGCTGTGGCTCTCCAGGAATGGACCCTTCTCACAAGACGTGTTATGGCACGTTTAACAGTCATCAGCATCTTAAATACTTGAAAGTTTTTAATATATATATACATTTTTAAAACATATGAACATATGTATGCATTATGACAGCTTTGCTTGTTATTACAAAAAATAAATTAAGCAAATAAGATTGTAAAAAGCTATTTGTTGTATTTTCCCATTCATTGTGCTCTAGGTTTTCCCAACTTCCGCTACTGAGAAACCCAGAAATGTGAAAAGGGTCAATCGAGTTTGAGACCTATGATCTAGGCCAGGGGTGTCCAAACTCGGTCCTGGAAGGCTGGTGTCCTGCATATTTTAGTTCCAACCCCACTGAAATACACCTAAACCAGCTAATCAAGCTCTCTCTAGGTGTACTATGAACTTCCAGGAAGGTATGTTAAAGGAAGTTGGAGCTAAACTCTGCAGGACACTGCCCCTTTAGGACCAAGTTTAGACACCCTAATCTAGGATAGAGATGGTTGCAAAGTGTTAAAACAAAACAGCTAATAATTGTGGTGAATTAACTGGATAAAAACATTTGTTCTATAATCATCTTTTCACACGTGCAGTGGTTTTACAAATTTTTTTGTAATTCATATCACAATCTCAGACCTCTATTTACACATTTAAGTTGATCGAACATATAACAATTAAGTTGCCCCGCCCAAAACACAAAAATAATATTGTTTCAGCTCATCTTAAATAGGGAATTTAAACAAACAGCAAACACCATTTTTTAGTGTACTAAAGGGGTTTGATTCTGACATATTTCTTGATTATTTTTATATTAAAAAAAGACTAATTATTTTCCAAAGCATTGTGATAGAAAATTATATTACAAAAACTTTATCATTTAACCTACATATTATCATTAAACATACAATCCTATCCAAAGACACACGCACACAAAATCACGACAAGGGCTGCTTTATTAATAATTTGTATTTGCATATTTTTGGTATTTAGTAAAATATTTCAATTTCCACAAATCTGTGCACTTGTGCTGGTTCACCAAGACAGCGGAGTTCAATAAATCAAACTGAAAATGCTTAACCAAATATTCTTTAAAATACAAATAATATGAAGTTTAATAAAGATTTGTTCAAACAATGTTATGTAAAAACATTGTGTAAATTAATTAACTGTAATGGGTTTGATAATTTTAATATTAACTGTTGAGAGGAACTGAAACTGGTGTTCTACTTCCAGTTGATTGTCAAGCCATTGCTTAAGAAATTCTGGCTAAGTTTATAAACATAAGTATATCATTATTTTATCAACATTTTAATAAGAATAAAAATATATATACCCAAAACATTTGCAAAGTAGTCCTAAAAATATACAGATCTGACAATTACAAGCAATTTCAGTGCGAGTTAAAACAGCAGATTACCCTGACAAACAATCAAAGGCTGCATGTGAAGTCAAACATGAGGAAAAGAAAGAGAAAAACAAGAGTGTTTGTCCACATTAAAAATAGTCTTCATAAATGTGACCTTAAACCTGTATAAACAGAACTAAATACTAGCCACAGTTGGAGAATCATACAGAGGATCTGCAGTCCTTCACTGGGAGTCCATTGATGCTGCCGCAATGCCATGCTGTCTCAACTGGTTTCTGATCATCTGATTCTTCGATTTCCACTCTTCCATCTGTGTGAGTAGACAAGCGATTAGAGAGGATTGCACATTACAAATTAAACAGGCTTTTGTTCACTTCAAAGCCTTCACACAACATATGACACACTATGCTCCTACAGGATTGTTTTTATTTTATTATTATTATTATTTTTAAATTCAGGCAGCAGAAATTCAGAAACATAAAAATCTATTTGCATTCGACGTATGTAATTTTGAAAAACTTAAGTGCCACATTTGAGAATGCGGTTTCATGTGCAAGATGTGAAGGTAACAAAAATCTTACTAGGGCTCATGCACAACTAATGGCTTTGCTTTTAAAAACGTAAAAGTCAGCAGTTCGAAAAAAAAAAAAAAAAAAAAAAAAAACACCGCTTAAGAAGCACAAGAGTATCCGGATACAGCCGATAAGCACCTGTAAACAAAAACCTGCATTGCTTGCCGAGCTCATAGCTCTTCTGATTGGTCCACTGCTGTGGAACTGACAGCGATGAGCTGCGCTACTTGTGGAAATTAAAGATCTTGAAAAAGCATCTAAAGGAAGTGGGATCATGTGCATTGTGCTTCTAATAATGCAAGTATAACAGTCACACACATCTGTCAAGCGTGTTTACATAAAAAAAGCAAAAGTAGTACAGTGGTCCCTCGTTAATTGTGGGAGTTACGTTTTAAAAATAGCCTGCAATAGGTGAAATCAGTGAAGTAGTCAGCTTTATTTTTACCGTTATTATAGATGTTTTATGGCTGTAAAACCCCACACACGTTTCCACAGACAGGCATTTTCACACTTTTTTGTTTAAACACTTGCGTAATTTCTA